ATGTGTTAATTATTGAAACTGTCCTACCAATTTGGTGTGAAACTGTCTCATTGCTATTTGTTTCTCAATAAAATTTTTTGGGGAAAAAAAAAAAAAGAAAAAAGAAAAAAGAAAAAAGAAACAGAAAACCCCCCCAAAACAAAAAAACCTTATTTACTCAGTATGAAGAATGAACCAAAAAGATTGTTGCAAGAAAGAAACAGATAATAATATATAACTTTCTTTTCATTGAAACAAGAATAACTAGTAATATAAATAAAACCAATTACCCTATACTACCAAAAAAATTTTAAAAAAATAAAAAAGTAAAGTCATATTAATACGCTGAGCTGTAAAAGGCTCAAGTTAGTAACTTTTGACATTGCCAGTCATGCGGATAACCCAGTATGATAGACTACTGGAATATATTGGATTACTTTGCTTAATTCACGCAACTATGATATATGAATAGCAATGAAATTCCCATCTCTGACAAAAGTATACAAAAAAGGGGATATAAATGACCATTTTGTAGTGAAAAAAATTTTTTTTCTGTATATACAAAATAGCATCGAGATATAGCTAAGAGATATAGCTTAGTTTAAGAGATTAAACTAAGTGATATTTTTTAGTTTAATGAGAAGAAAGTTTTGAATAGTGTTTAGACAAAAAAATATCATGTCTGCATCTTGTACTATGAATAACTGCAAAGACAACATGTAATGTATTATTGTAACTGTCGTACTAACCTGTATTGAAACTGTCACATTGATACTTCTTTAATAAAATAAAAAAGGAAAAAAACCTAAAAACAACAGCCTTGAGCCCCATGTATTATGCACAGCCTTCTGCCATGCAAATTTATGGCATCAGATATACATCTCCCAGGGATTCTAGGTCCATGTCCACCATGTACATTTTACTGGATACATCACGTTTAATATGTACAAGAGCCGAACTCCTAGTTTTTTAAACTTGCTCCTATATCTGTCAAGGAAATTTTATTCTTCTACCCACTGCGGTTAAAATCTTAGGCGTCATCCTTCACTCCTTATCCTTTCAAACCTCACTTTCCACCATCACCAATCTCAATGATCACTTTTTATTGGTACTGTAAATCTAGCTCAAGGTTCCATGGTCTGTTGTTCCAGCTACGGCCACCACTCTACTTAGAAGCTTCTAGTAGTTTTTCCATCACATTTAAATTCAAAGTCAGGGTCTTCAAAGCCTTATAAATGGCACCCTATTTCACTACGTGCACTCTTTTTCTTGCCCCAGCCATACTGGCATCCTCATTATTTATCAACTTGAAGTACTCTGCACTTGTTGTTCTTTCATCTGACATACTTTCCACAGCTATGTACCCCTTAAATTCCTTTGTCTTCTCTCAAACATCACTTTATTTAGGCTTATTATTCCATTCCAAACTGAACTTTCTTCAGCTTGTAATTAATCTGTTGTTAATTTTCTATGTTCCTTTTCTAAATTTTGTCCTTTACCCCTACTTAGTATACTATAATCCCCAAGCTTACTCCAAAATGGCAGATTTTTGTTGTTTGAATAAAATCTTCGTATTACTTTACAACAAATATTTATGGGGTAAATTAGTCTAGTCTCTCTCTTTCTGTAATGTAATATAGGAATAATACGAAGAAAAACAAATAAGAAAAACAAAAGTTGCCTAAGTACCTTAACATACCATGTTCTAGCTGTATGCAGTGGCACATGTCTGTGATCCCAGCTACCTGGGTGGCCAAGGCAGGAGGATAACCAGTTTGGGGCCTACTTGGAAAATATAGGAAGACCTTGCCTCAAAATAAAGTTTAACCAAGGGCTGGATGTATAGTTCAGTGGTATAGTATTTGTCTAGCATACAGAAGGCCTTGGGTTCAATTCTGAGCACCCTCCTCCTCAAAAGACACTGAGGTCCCTACAATGTAAAGGAAAAATAACATTTATTGAGTACCAACTATATGCTAGGCAATCTTATGATTAAAAACTATTTTAATCTCAGTCATATGATATATAAATTCTATGTAACAAAAAATTGAACTTCACTGAAATAGTTTTAATAAAAATAAAGATATAACTCTATTATATACTAGATCTCAAGCTGTTAAATCAGCCAAATCTATACTACTGCCTTTTTAAAAGAGCAATATTCATTTATATGGTGGTGTCTATGTTCAAAAATCTTAATATGAACTGGTTTATTCAAGCGAATCTTTTAATCTATGGGAAAAGGTGGAGGGTTCAAGAAAGTATTCTTTTAGTGAATCCCAGCATCAATGGAATCACCTAATTTTTCAGCATTAACCTTCAACTGATCAAAGAAACTTTGAGAATTTATTATGGCATTAAACTATCATAGGAATAAGATCCAGAAATTTCAAGCCTCTTACAGATGTTGCTTGCTAGGAATTCTACTAGTATTTGTCACCACAGGAAACAAAACTACCATTCTTCCCAAGTTGTTTTTCCAGTGTTTTGTAATGTCTATGGTTCTCTGACACAGTAGTTACATAGGTAGTAATTGGTTTTTTTTTTAATGTATTTAGTACAGAGTCTACAGGGTTTCACTCCATAGATCGGACTCGTAGTGATTCTCTTTTTAGTCTCCCAAGTGCTGGGATTTCAGGCACATGCCACCATTCCTGTCTCACCGCTCCCTGGAGGCAGGGCTGGTATGGCACGCTGGGGATCAAACCCCACCCACTGCGCTCTGCCTAAGCAGGAGCTTTAGTGAGCTGAGCTATTTGGCTGGCCAGTAATTGTTTTGAATACTGCCTAGAACCAGTCTCAGCCACTTACTCAATTAGCACCCAGGAAAAGCTTTAAAGATAATTATAAAAACAAAAATAGCAGAACTTCAAGCATCCAATTCGGTTTCACATATACACACTCACACACATGTAAAGAAATACCTGAAGAATGAATGGCTTTGCTCCTTTTCTGCATCACTTCCATCAATGCACCCACAATACCTGAGGTGGGTGCAGGGGTTGGTGGTGTAGACTCTTGGCCATCAGACACCTTGGTAAAGAAAATTATGAACACTCAATTACGGACTGGAAATGCAGCTCAGTGGTAGAACACTTGTAAGCATGTACATCATCTTGGGTTCAATTCCCAGGACCATACAGACACACAAAGAACCTGAAATATAAATCTTTAGCAAAGAGCTTCTCTCCCTAAAATGTCTTGATATTTTAGAATCATTTCTTATTTTAAAAGAATACAGGAGAGAAAAAAAAAAAAAAAAAAGCAGGAATATCTGCAAGCCCAGGATACGATTAAATTAAGAAGCAAATTATCTTTAAAGGTATATCCAAGAAATATTTCCTTTCCTGCATATTGTCATTAATACATATACAATACATTTTGAAATAATGACTATGCTTACTCTCCCTTGAATAATACTTTCCCCAAGTAAGCCCTTGAGATACTTCTGCTCAACTCAACACAGACCATTAGATGACAGAATGTAAACAGCACTACCAGGGGCTGGGAGCTCCTCAGTCTAAGGTCATATTCAGATTCCTACACTTACTAGGCGGGGACCACATTAAGATAGCCAAGAGCAAGAGCAGAAATTCATGTTGTCTAAGAAAAGCTGAGTTGTATATGTGTATGTTGTGCCTATATCATATATAAAGTTATAATTAATACGTATATAGTATAGTTCAAAAATAAACCTCCCTTCTCATGGCATGTAACTTTTCTTTCAGGAGATTAAGAAATTTTTAAACTACACCCATAAGTCAAATAACTATGCCTAGTAGAAATATATTTATCTCATCCTAAGTATATTGAGAACAAAAAACTTCCATTAAAGTTAACCTTTCCAGAGTAGTACATTAAAAACTTATCCTTATCCCCAATATTCACAATGAAAAGTGAAGAATATAGGAAAAATGCTCAGGAAAAAACACAAGTTTGAATGTACTGCTTTAAGTGATTGCTCAAAACAGTGAGACATTTTTGTACTTTTACTATTATATCTGACTTTACTTATATTACCTATATATATGTATAGTATCAGTATAAAGATGAAAAAAGTATAGCTGTGCTACATAGTTATATGACATTTTAAACATATATTCTTATTTATGTGATATTCTAAATCATTTCATGAAGAAAATGACTTAAGACAACTCCTCTCCCATACTGCTTGTCTACCTAAAAACCTTTTCCTTTAACAAAAGGAAATACTTCAATTCGTGAACTTAATTCTTCCATGATTCTGATCACAAACCAAATTCTAGTTCATGAACTGAGATAGCGCTGTATTCTTAAAATACAGACTCATTCATTAGCACTTAGGTTTTAAAGACCATTAGATTTTTAAGAGATTATTTAAGAGATAATTAGGCTTTATGTAACTATTATTAGTTCAGAAATACCAGAAGTGGAGAGAATAACAAAAAGTTTCAGAGCTTTGTATTTTGTGTGAGACTTTAACAGCAGCGAGGGCCACCTTTTAGCATCTGGTAATACAAAGCAAGAACACAATCATCAAACATTTTTTTAGTATAGTATTTACTTGGACAAGGCTACTTGAGGTACTATAAACATGGAATTCACAATATATGCTAAGTGAATACTTAACTCCTGGTAGCTCTTTAACTAAATTGGTAATTTCATGTTAGTCATATTCATCACTGAATATCCTGATACAGAAAATCTACAGAAATTTCATATCAAATGTATAACTTGGCAATAATTTACTGATTATGCACTTTACAGTAACAGTGATTATTTAGGGCAATATGGCTTAGTATTCTACATTTGGGTAAGAAAGTACTTTTCTCTCTAAAACAAATATAAAAGCCAATTTACAAGCTGTTTCTCTTGGGCAACAGGACAGAGGCCAGAATGGAAAAAGTGAGAATAATAAATTATAGGCGGGGCATTTTAAGTCTAGCCTATCCCACTAGGTTTAAAGCGATTTTTACATTTTTAGATGTTGGAAAAAAAGAGTATTTGTAACCAGAGTAAATTATAAGTAACTCAAATTTCAGCGTACAGTACAAGCTTCATACAACATCATGCCCCTTCGTTTACTTCTGCGCTCTTGGTGAACGCTTCAGAGGTAGAACGGCAGACCTGACGTGCGGCCCCAGGGGCCTCATGACCTCTAAGCCTAAATGTTTGCTGTATGGTCCTTTCCAGAAAGAAGTTTGTCAACTGCCGGAAGAGTAAATGACCTACAGTATTAAATGCTTATCTTGTCTGATACAGCAAATCCAACACTGCCATCGCTGACATCACAAACACTACTTTCCTGTGCAGACTGAGTCTCTGATACTCTAAAATTCAGTATATGAACACTTTAAAGTAAGATTTAGTTTTCGCAGTGACTGATTTGGATTTACTGAGGTGACCCCAACTGTTCTGAAGTAGGACTGCTTTAAATTATCCACAGTTTAGTAAGAATTTTAAAAAAAGATATTATTTACTTAAAACTAAGAATTCAGAACAATGTATTGCAAACATACTACACAAGCTCATTTATATGAAGTTCTAGAATAGGCAAAACTAATCTATGAATCAGATGATGATTGTTTTGGGCAGAACCAACTAGGAAGACACATAGGATAACTTTCTGGGGTGATGGGACTTATACATATGTATTTTGGTACCGGGAATTGAACTCAGGACTTGCCAGGCAAGTGCTTGTTCCACTGAGGTATCTTCCTGGCCTGACTATTCTATATTTTGATATAAAAATATGGATTACATAGCCGTAGGCATTTATCATCTGAACCAAAAATTCACTGATTATACACAAAGATATTTAAAAGTTCATAGGATTAAAACACTGAACATAGGGCCGGCCTGATAGCTCAGTGGACTAAAGCCCTTGCTTAGGCAGAGCACAGCAGCCAGGGTTTGATCCCCGGAGGGCCATGCCAGCCCCACCCCCAGGGCGTGCTGAGATGGCAAATGAGACTGGGCGTGGTGGGGTGTGCCTGTAATCCTAGCCCTTTGGGAGGCTGAAAACAGGAGAATCACTGGAGTCCGATCTATGTAGTGAGACCATATACACCCTGTCTTAAAATAGGGAGAAAACAAAACAACAACAAAAAAACCTGAGCATAAATAATAGAAAAAAATAAAAGAATACATCAAAATTTCATTCTGCTAGCTGATATAAAATGAAAAGGTCAGATTACTTACAGATTTCAGTTGAATACCCTGTCGTATCTGGTCTAAAAGTGCATCCCTTCCAGAGCAGGACACTGGTCGACTGTTCTGTTCTACTTTTTTTAGCTGAGCACCCTCTCTGATTTGATCTAAAAGAGCCGCTTTGCTTCCGGCAGGCGCTGGAACTTGATGGTCCCCATCAGATGGGAGGCCAGGGGGAGGCGGTGGCCCAGGTGGAGGTGGAGGTGGAGGCGGTGGGGGTGGTACTGAGGACCCTGTTGTCACTGACAGAGGTGGAGGTGGTGGTGGGGGCCCTGCAGGTGCTGAGGAGGGAAGGGCTGGAGGGGGAGGAGGATACATCCTGTTCGGTGGCGGTGGCGGGACGCCCACTCCTGGCCTGGAAGGCGGTGGTGGAGGCGCAGCGGTGGGTGCTCTGGAAGGTGGCGGGGGAGGGGCACCTCTTCCCCTGGCAGGGGGAGGGGGAGGGCCTGAGCTGTGTGGAGGAGGAGGAGGGGGAGGTGGACCTCCTCGGGATGGCGGTGGAGGGGGTGGTGCTGAAACAAAAACAAAAACAAAAATGAAGGCATCCTTTTTGCCCCCGTAAATATTCTATTAATAAAGTAACATGCCAAAATAAAAACAACAAAAACCAAAAACTAAAACCAAGCAAAAACAGCCTAATTTTTGCATTTTATTTACAAATATTAGCTGAACACTCATATCTTGCAATTTTATCTGGAAATAAAAGCTAGCTTAAAGACCACCCTTCTGTTGTTTCCTGAAAAACACCAACTGAAACAATAGACTATAAGGTTTGGGGTTCACTATCAGTGCTGAAGGTAAGAGGAATGAGCAAATTTCAACTTTAAAAATAACAACAACATAATGAAATTCAACATTTTATTTCAAAAGCATTACTTTACATTTTAGTAAAAAAGAATGAGTATCTTCCCTTTTTAAAGTATCAAATACATTTATGTGTTTTAAAAATATGAAACAGGGCTGGTGACATAGCTCAAGTGACTGCTTAGGCAAGTGCAGGGACCACAGGCAAGCCCCAGCACAGGGTTCCACCCCTAGTACCACACGCTGTGCCATTCCTGTCCCTGGGTGTGCTGAGCTGGCCACTGAGACCAGGCATGGTGTTCCACACCTGTAATCCCCGCAATGGGGAGGCGGAAAAGCAGGAGGTTCACTATAAGTCTTGAGCTGCATAGTGAGACCCTGTACCAAATACATTAAAAACCAAAAAACCAATAAATCAATTTCATCCTAAATGCAAGCGTAATGCTTTTTAAAAAAACATAATCCTTTAATTTACATGTTCTTTAAAAATATGCTATTCTACTTTTCTAAAAGTGGTCAGCAATTGTGAAACTGGTATTAAAGTTGATTGCTCAATGGAAATGTTTATTTATTTATTTAGTGTTTTTTTTTTTTTTTTTAATGGATTTGGTTGTTGCAGGGTCCTTGATAGTTTCTCTGACTGCCTAAGCTTGCCTAAGCAGGCACTTTAGTTCACTGAGCTATCTCGCTGGCTCCTCAATGGAAACGTTAATTATTTATTTAGGAGATATGAACTGATTACTAACAAATTAACGGAAACTATATAAAATACAGAATTAAACTAGTTACCATTATTTTGATAATATTTACATTCTTATTCTACTTATGTGAAAATATCATAGGAAATCAAATCTAAAAGTATAGAAACATCAGACTATATGAGAGAATATGAATACAACCTTACAAGTTAAATTTTTTTTTGATATTTCTGGAGAGATATTTTGCCAGCAATACACAGACTCATGTAATAACTTATCACTTCCCCATTCAAAAACGATCAGAAGAATTGACACGTTAAGAATAGAGATACATTATCACCCCATAGCTACTTCTATTTACTGATACAAAACATAAGGAAGTACTGAGGAATACTCTTACCCAATATATTCCGTTAAAATACCTACCTTAATTATAAATATCAATAGGCTCAGATGCTCAGTAATAATACAATGATATCAAAGAGGAAAATTTCAAAGGGACTAAAATCGTATCTTTTCATTTCATTTGGGATAATCATGGTAATCATGCTATTGAAAAATTATAGTCAAATATTAAAAAAAAAACACCGAATGAACATTAGAAGGGACAAAACTCCCATGGACCTTGTTCTGGGGATAAGTAATTTTCAAACTGCAAATCACAGACAACTACAAGCACAAGTTGCTTACATAGCGATCAGTGGAAGAATCCTGTGTCACTAGGTGTTGCAGGTAAGGCTCACCCGGTCTTCTCACTGAACTTAAAGACTTAAAACTTGTAAGAAGCACAGTTGCTTTCTAACATACTTTCAATTAAAGGGGGAAAATGGGAGGATGGCACATAATTATTATGTGCATTTTACATAAGAGTGTGTATCAGACCCTTCAAAGAGATACAAATTTAATTTTAATCAGTTTTAGGTTTGTATTTTAAATTGCAATAGTATTTACCCAACTGGCATAGTTTATAATTTTCTCATCATTTATTCACAAGGAAAGGAACCCAGGTTATTTCACTATTTTATTATCTTACTAAAATTCTAATTAAGTATATCGTACTATAAAATTTTAATTAATTTTCTATTTTAAAAGCCTGAATGTACCTGATCCTTTATTTTACTGTTATATGACCAGAATTATAAAGTAAGTAATCACATATTTTTCAAGGATTCATCAAGTTTAAGTTAAAGCCCTTTTGAACCTGCAGTGAAAATCCTGATTGGTGTAATCTGGAGTCCAAGTAATACCCATTCAAATAGACCTGCTTAGAGAATGGAGAACCTTATTGTGTAATGAATAAACTATTGGCCGAATATAATTGGAGTGTAGTAAAATTTTATTATCTTGAAGAGTGATGTCAAATATTTCTGTATTTTTTAAAAACATCAACTAGCAACTTTCTGTTTTAGTGGTCTGTATTACATCTACATACAAAGGAAAGTATGAAAGATAGGAAATACACTATATCCCATGTAAAAACATGAAAGAAGTGAGGCAGAGAAAGACAACACTCTGTGAATGAGATTTACATGCCTACATGAACCAGACACCACATACCACTTGGAGACACTCTGATCGGAATTTTCAAGATTTTCACCACAAACACCAGGCAATAACAAGAGTTGATGTTTAAAACAAAGAGAAAGCAAGGAAACACACAAAGAAGAAAGCATAAAATAAAAATTACAGCAGGGCCAGCCAGATAGCTCAGTGGATTAAAGCACCTCCTTAGGCAGGCTCAGGGACCGGGGTTTGATCCCTGGGCATACTGTGCCAGCCCTGCTTGAGGGGCACACTGAGATAGTAAATGAGACTGGACGTGGTGGTGCATGCCTGTAATCCCAGGCTGAAAACAGGAGGATCATTATGAGTCTGATCTGTGTAGTGAGACCCTGTAGATCCTGTACTACATACATAAAAATTACAACAAACAAAAAGTCTATCAAATTTAAACTTACAACTTAAAAAAAAATTCTTAATGGCACCCTACAAAGAAACACTACTAAACTTAAAAATAATTACTTCAGATCAATAGTAAGAATACTAATAGACAATTCTCTAGTATGCATAGGAGCTGAAAGAAAAAATTATAATTTATGTTTAAAATAAAAGCAAGTTTGGGATGTAGCTCAGTGGCAGAGCACTCAAGGCCTAAGCACCAAACAAGAAGCAGTGCAAGGAATTCAGAAAACACTTAAGAACTGATCTCACGAACTCTCATCAACAGAAAACAGAGAAGAACATTTTATCACAAATTTTAATTTATGGAAATATTGCCAATTTCCTAAGTATTTTAAAGCTGTGTGTTTAGGTTTAGTTCTCCCTAACTTGGTAATATAAAGATATAAAAGTATTTTATTCAGGCCAGTAACTACTTATTAGTAATAACAACAACAGTCTGGGCCAAGAGGTTTTTTCTTTTTCTTTTTTTGGTACCAGCAATCGAACTCACGACCTCACACTTGTCAGGCAGGCACTGATCCAGGAGGTATTTTTTATATGGAACTTCAATAAAATTATCAACTAAGGACAAAATATAAGCTCTAACTCACACAGAAATAAACTTTTCTAAAAGACTGTTTATGTCCAAAATATTAGTTTGAGTATACAGTAGAAAACTACACTGGAAGCATATTTGAACGTAGGGCATATAAGCTCTCCCTCCTCTGCCAATCAATACAGCACAGCATGCGTAACTCAGCACTGCATCAAATCATACCCCACATACATACCATTCCACTGTGGTGGGCCTACAGAAGAGATCATTATCGGTTAACAGGCTTCGAACAATTACACACAGAGAGACATGTGGAACTCCAAGTCTATTTGCTTTCATAAACTTCATTACACAACTTGACCAAGTGACTGCCAAGCTGTGAGATCTGATTCAGTCAGTTTTACTTAGGGTATTTTCAAGACAATTTCATTAACTTCCCCATTTTAGGTTTCCACTAAATACTGAGTCGCATTATACATTCTAGAGCTACAAGATTTTAACAAATTATTTCTTTGCCTTGTTACTCTTTCTCCAAAATGTGTTCTACATTGAAATCATGCTTTGGTGTGAATTATTAGGCTTCACACTGACAGTTAGGTGACTGAATCTAATACATAATTTTTATACCTTATACTTCACTCTCAAAGCACATTTTTTTTGGAACCGGGAATTGAACTCAGACCCTTGTACTTGCCAGGGAAGCACTTATTTCACTGAGCCATCTCCCTGGCCCCAAAAGCACATTTTTTAATGATTGTGATTTTAAGATAATTTAAGACTCTGCCTAATTTATTTTTAAAGAATGTACAATAAAAAGCAGTGAATATATATATATCTACATATACATAAACTCCAATCCAGATAATAAAATACACCTTCCATTACAGAAATTCAGGTGAAAGGGCACCAGCTTGGCTGATTCACTAAAGTCAAGAGTAATTTATAACATAATTCAAACAGCGGAGACACCACAAGCATCACTATGCTATATGGCAGAGGTGGGTGACATGAGCAGAAAAAAGACTTTGAGGACAACAGGAGGGATCTCAACATTACCCAGACCTGCACACTGGGACTAACCTTGAACACTGAGAAACAACCATGATGCTGTGCCCAGATGGTTTCTTTAAACTCAAAGCATTTGAAAATATGTCCAAGTGAATTATTGAAACTGTCCTACCAATTTGATTTGAAACTGTCTCACTGCTATTTGTTTATCAATAAAATTATGGGAAAAAAAAAAAAAAAAAAAAAAAAAAAAGAAAAGAAAAAAAAGAAAATATGTCCGCAAGTAAGTTTTTTATCATGCTAGCTTCAGTGGAACTAGCACTGTTTCCACAACAGTGATATTATTTTAATATAAATTGAAAGGTTGTATTCATTGCTATCAAAAATGTTATATTAAATTTGTGCATAAAATTTTATACATAGTATTTCCATTTTAAACTAAGATTTATGAAGGAAAAAAACTGTATCTTTACATCTAAATATCCTGAGAGCAGTACTGGGACTGTAATGTGTATCGAATACATGAAAGAATGAATCAATATACCAAAGACTGAATAAACACCAACAATGACAAAGACAAAGCTGGCTAAAAACTAACTTAAAAGATGAATATTACAGTGAAAAGTATTTTTTTTATGATAACTGTTACAACACCACTAAGATAGGGGGTGTTTTAACTATTGGAACATAAGAAGTTGCAAACTATGCTGTCAGGAACCAAAAGAAAATTTTATACTTTGAAAAATATATATATATATATATATATATATATATATATATTATTCTTATTATTATTTTTTTAAGTTTTATTTTTGGACAGGTTTTTTTTTTTTGGCAGAACTGGGGACTGAACTCAGGCCCATGGGCAAGCACTTATTCTACTGAGCCATCTCCCTGGCCCAACAATTTATATTTAAAAATTAAGAGAAATGTTAAATTATTTATATTCTGAAAATCCTTACTTTATTCCTCAGTGACACTATTTAAATTCTGAGTCCTGAATTATAACATAAACCACTGTAATGGTGTGCCGGTTTCTAAAATTAAGTAAAATATTTAGGTAACTGTAATCTTTTATTTTAAAACAGAACAGCTAGAAGATTTTATATGAATTTTCATGAATTTAATATAAAATTTTTATAATAAAAGCAGTAAATGCAACCTTTCGATTTATTCTAAAACAACATAACCAATATGTTAAGCCAAATAAAAAATTCTGCTCAAGGAAGGTTCATAGACTGTCTAGGGACATCTGTCATAAAATCGATTTCAGGAAATTTAGAAGGAAAATAAAAGAGAGATCCAGGTAATTAAGTAGTTACCTTGCCTTCGTAGTTCATTTTTAACAGCTTCCACACCTCCTGTTTTTTCAATGAAATCATATATAACTTTTGATGTTTCTCTATCTTTAAGTTGTGCCTCTGAGATGCCACACATATCAAAAAGATTCTTCAGTTCTGGATCCAAATTATTTAGCTACAACAAACAAAATAACTGCTAACTATCTATTACAATTCTTTAAAAAATAAGCATGATAAAATATAACACTTATCTGAGTCCTTATGGCATTATTTTAAGTTTATAAACTTTTAAATGGTTACATTATTGAAATAACTGAACTTTTTAAACCACGTAACAGTTTACCCTGAGCATCACTAGGATGGCACCTGTGATTATGTACTGACTATCACAAGTGCTGCAAAGACAGCTATTATTTCAATCAGTTGATTCTTGTATTATATAAATTTGATAAAATTGCCGTGTTTATATTTCCTGCTATATTATTTTCAAAGGGAAAAGACCAAAAAAAACAATACAGAATTTCAAAACAAGATAGGAAATTAATGAAGATTATTATACTGCATATTGTTATCTTCAAAGTAGTTGCTCAGATTACCAGTTAAAGGCATGAAGAAATTCATCAAACAATATAAGCACTAATTATTCCTTTCAATGAACAGAAACTAGTAGTACAATTATCTCAGCTATCTTGTACATATACACATCTTTCTTTTCCTGCCTTCTCTTTTCTCCCATCCTAGTTGAGCAGTTTCTTTCCTTTTCATAATACCTGCTATACCTTCTGATTCTTATTTACTCTCTTAGCGTCTTACACTAAAGAGACAATATGATATTTACACATGTGAGTCTGGTTTATTTCACTTATAAGTATGGTCTCTGGTTGCTTCCATTTACCTATAAAGTCTCAAAATTATCTTTCTTTATAGCTTAGTAATACTCCTTTGTATATTACCTTATAAAAATTAACAAAAAAAAAGCAATTTTTTGGTCCTCCTGTATTTAAATAATTAGGTTAGTGTTTAACAACAGAACCTTCACAGAGGAGAACAAAATGGATTTTTAAACTTTACTCATCTTTTTACTCTATTTAAAAATGGTGTGTCTCATTCAGATTTCTCCTAACCCATTCACGATTCAGATACCTTCAGTGTTTCTATTCTATCTTGTCTTGGATTTAGGTACAATTATGAGTAAATACACAAAAAAGTAAATCAATCTAGAATCTGCAGGCAAGGACCTTTTTGCACCCAAATGCCTTGCTACAGTGCCAACACAAACAGGTACTCAATATGTCTGCAGAATTATCATCAGAGTTATTTAACCAAAAGGACTATGAATACCAATCATAAACAATAATTTCTTTCTAAAATACTTTACAAAAGCTTGGTAAGTGCATCCAGCCAAAATTATCAGTTAGCAGAAATAGCTCCTTTAGGCTTTCCAAGCATAAGATTTTATTTATTGAATAAATAAAAGTCAAGGAGCACAAAACAATTTGTCCAAAAACTTAGCAATAACAGAACAATTCCATGTTTTCAAATCTTAGTGCTATACCCACAGAAATACAAGCACATTCAACTAAGCCGTAGAATTCAGACAGCTACATTCAAAGAAAAGAAAGCAGAAGGATGGACAGGCAAGAGAGAAGAACAAGACAGTGCATAATACTCCCTATATTTTGAGTACTAATAAGTATGACTTCAAAAGATACTTACATCAAAGCCTGTATTTGGATCCCACCCAACATGTCCAATGTGTCTAAAGTAGAAAATTAAAAACAATTGAATAATAAAATGCAGAAAGTGTATTTAAAGCATACTATGTATGAAATCTAACCTATCCTTGAATTTCAAATTGAATTAATATGTAGTTTTCATAGGGATAAGCACACTTTGGGGAAAACTATACGCAAGGAGTCAAGAGACCTGAATTCCAGCCCTGGTTTTGCTACTATTTGAAAAAGTTTTTGCAATATCACCCAACATTAATTCCTTTAATTATTTCATTAGTGTAAGATTACAACTGCTATACTTATGACAGACTAGGCAAAAGCTAATGAAATATGAATACAAAAATGTTTAAATATATAAATACCAAAGGCTTTTCTTTTTGGCCTCTTGACAAAACTTATAAGCATTTCCAAGTACAATTTGTAGATCAATATGAGAAATCATTTTATGTTTAACAGCTAAATACAGAACTTTTCTAATGAGAAAAAGTTGGTATCATCTATGGAGCAATTATCAAAATAAAATCTCCAACAAAATGTACAGTTTTCAAAAAGTCCAATATAAGCATCCTTTCCAAATGGAAACATAGATTCTGAAAGTAAAAAACTCAAGAGCAGCAGTGAACATATAGAAGTACAGATAAGAACAAAAGAACTGACTTACTGGAAATTGCTTGGTGTTCCAATATCTGCCTTGGTTAATCTCTTCTTTTTAGCTTTTCCTTTCTTCTTTTCTTTGGTATGGGAGATATTGTTGACTTGTGGTCCATAAAACCTATTTGTTGTGATTTCTGGATTTTTTATGTCTACTGTAGCCATGGGCAGATTAGGACCTACAAATAAAGCCAACATAATATTAAAAAGATGCAATTTAAGAAAATAATTATACAACTTATTTTAAAATCAGCATTTTCTGAAGTAGAATCACTTCATTACCATAAGTTAAAATTTAAGTCTGCATACTGATATTCTATAACAAAGTATTGGCTACATTCCTAAAGCCCATTAATACTTAAAATCTTATCAATGATGAATTATTTTAAATTATACTTGCATTTTTATAAATTTAAAGCTCATGAAGAATGTAACTTTGGCAGAAATTATTTGTTTTCCTAAATTTTGACTATAATTCCCTCATACCCAACATATTGCTCATTGGTAAATGGTATTTATGTAACATAACTATTAGAATAAAGACAGGGAAGGAAATGTTTAGCTTGTTTTAAATTAAAGAAAGAAATCTAGTTATATCTCTTTAATTTCAACTTTGTTAGCCTATGAGGGAAAGAAGCACTTCTAAAATTATTACAAATTTCCCCAAACTGTCATATTTAAGTGCACTAATATCTTCCTCACCAGTAAACATTTATGCATACATGTGCACCAACACACACCCTTGGACTATGAGAAGTACACAGGTTAAAACTTAAATGGGAAATACTTTTTTTTTTTTTTTTTTTTTAATGTATCTAGCACAAGGTCTACAGGGTCTCACTACACAGCTTGGACTCATAGTGATCCTCCTGTTTTCAGCCTCACAAGCGCCAGGATTACAGGCACACACCACCATGCAGTGTTTCAGTTGTTGTCTCAGCAGGCTTCGGGTTGGGGCCAGCAAGCACCCCGTCCCTGTGTTTGCCTAAGCAAGCGGTTTAATTTGCTGCGCTATCTGGCTACCCCCCCCCCCAACCTTTTTTTGGAAATACTCTTATTAAAGTACATAGCTTCCACAAGGTTCAATGGTAAAAATATCACAGGTACTTTTGGGTACCATATGCAGCATCTTCAAGGAGTGATTAAATTAAATAATGCAGCAAAAACTTGCATCACCTGTTCCTGAGACTCCATTTTAATAAACATTCTCTGTCCAACTTCCTCTGAGAGGATTGTATTAACAGCAACTTTCAAAATGTACAAATATCACCATTTGTAGAATAGGAGTTAAGCCAGCAAACTTGAGATTACTATTCAAAAGCACCTGAATGCAAGGGTGGCCCTTACCTCGCTATGGACACTTGGATCTGGAGATAAGGTAGGTCACTGTGCCTAACCTTGTGCTAGAAAAGTGACATATGCTGAACACCTGCTTTCCTTCTGGGAGTGTGAATCACATATATGATAGGCACAAGTACCTAGATGATTATCCTGCGTTAAAACCCCTGGACATTGAGTCTCTAATGAGTTTCTCTTTTAGGTAACATTTCACATATTGTCACAATTCATTATGAGAGGAATGTTTAGGACTCCACTGGATAAAGTTTTAGAAGCTTGTGTACAGATTTCTTCCTATGTTGTTCCACTTGTTGATTTTGTTTTATATATTTTATTGCAATAAATATATGTAGTAAGTACACCTAGCTATGGAGTCCTGTGAATTTAAGTACATCACCAACAAAGGGGTTGACCCCAGCACCATCACAGAATGATGTATACAAAAAGTCTACTTATGTTTACATAATAATGAGGTTGGGTAGACTTAATTCAATAGCTTAAATGATTCAAAGTAGAACATTCTCTTTTCATGAATTTAATTGGTGCTCTTACAAGCTGGATGTACATGGCTTTGAAGCAAAGTAATTCAGCTGTCTCTGAAGAAAGTTCAACAGTGAAGAGGACAGAAGCAAACTACATGAGGGCTGGCCAGACAGCTCAGCGGACTAAAGCCCCTGCGTAGGCAAAGCACAGGACCTGGAGTCTGACCCCCGGAGTGCCAAGCCATGCTGGCCCTGCCCCCAGAGGTACACTGAGACCACGACTGAGACTGGGCATGGTGGTACACAACTATAAGCCCAGTGCTTGGGAGGCTGAAAAGAGGAGGATCACCACCAGTCCTATCTGTGTAGTGAGACCCTGTACTAAATACATTTAAAAGAAAGGAAACAAAATATATATGGAATACATAACAATGTTTAACTTATAAGATGGTCACACTGTGTTTTCCCTTCTCCCTCTACTCAAAAATCAGGCATGAATATATTGTTATGAATCTGCAAAGCAACTACAAAATATGGAATGATCTCTCTTGAGGTCTTTTAGATAAATTAACATTAAATGTAAACATTAAATTATTTAAATAAGTACACATAAAAATACAATTATAGAGATAAGAGACTAATATAGATGGAAAATTAAGTTGATTTTCTACATCCTTCATTTTACATATGAAAACAAAGGACAGAAGAGGCAGATGGCTGTATGACCTGTACAAAGTCAGGTAGTTGGTGACTGACACAAAGGTCAACTGTAGTATCTCGGTTCCTAGCCCACGAATTTTCTCACTACTAATTATTTTGCTCTTTGGACAAAAGTTATGAAGTGAATGACAATGCTAGTATAACAAATGCCACCATACATTATTGCTTTACCAATTTGTCAGTTCTCTCAGTTTATAGTCCCACAATTTATTTTTCAACAGATAGTAAAAGCTCAGAATTTAGAAAATAAATATGTTTACAAAAGAAAGATTTAGAAGACCAGGCACTTGGTTGTTTCTGTTGATAACAATTACCCACTTTGGAATTTAAAGATGTTAGAAAATAAGTTTAAAATAGCTCTAAAGACTAATTCCGTTTCAAAAGTGACACGCTAAAAATGTTAACTTGCATAAAGCACTTTTTAAAATATGGTAAAGAAGATTTCGTAACACACTGAAAGTCATTTAGCTATTCCATTAATGGTACCACATTCACTCTACTAGATACTATGAAATGGCAGGGGCTATTGTCCCTCTTATTCAAAGATATTCAAGTGGTAAATTATCTCGTTATGTTTAAGGACAACTGTCAAGGGTAAAAGTTTATCTTTTGAACAGCAGACATTTCTAGTTAATTTTAAATCTAAGAAAACAAACCCAAGTTTCTCTTAAATTCCATAAAAAGCAATGAACCCTCACCAATGTAAGATAATTGAGAAACAAGTGGCCCAGAGGCCTCTGATGTCAGTCAAGAAATGAGAACAAATCACTGGAAAGTATAAGAGCTGACTGTGAGAATGAGCAAAAAAGACATTAAGAGCTAGTGGAGAACACAGTAGTTTGCATTTTAGGAATTTATGGGACTTCAAATACAGCTACAACTTGAAAAGACGTGATAAACTGATAATCTAAAGCATCTGACAAGGGCTGGGGAGATAGCTCAGAAGCATAAGCGCCTACCTGGCAAGCGCAAGGTCCTGAGTTCGATCTCCAGTACCCAAAAAGTAAAAATAATAAACTAAAGGATCTGCCACAAAGCTCCTGCATGAATGCGGTATGGTTAAAGTGCACACTGCCACCTAGTGGTGGCACAACAAATGCAGCAATTCAAAGATGGCTTTAATACTGTTGTTTCCACACAATGGAATAAAGACAAATTGCCCAACTACAAGACTAATAATTATTCAATTATTGTGTACAAAACATATTTATACATATATAATAAAAATCACAAAGCTACTGGACGTATCTGTTATATAATTTTGTCTTTCATATTAAAAATATTAAGTGAAAAAAGTCGGGGACCACTACAAGAGTTAAAATTAAAGATTTAAAACCAAGAGGACTGAGAGAAAAAGAGACTGTACTTCAAAAGTGACTCTCTTAGGAGGGATCATACAATCATGAGACACCATTTTTACATAAAGTACTTCTGAATTCTATTGCAGAGAAAAAACCTTGATTGAACCTTGAATGTTCTATATGCACTGATTTGTACAGTATCTATACATTGTAAACTTGTGTTACTTTCTCCGAAGTTTTTGGATGACCACCACTAGGAAGTCTTCCCTTCCATTACTCAATATATGCTCACAGATGCTAAATAATAAATTCAAAAAGAGATCCACATGTTGTGTAAACCATTAAGGAAAAAATGTTTTAACACTGCATTAAAGTTCACAGATGAATGACATAACATCACTGCTTCTGCCTTTGCTTCTGCTATACACTAGCTGTCTATCTTGAGAAATATTATTTACTCTCTCTAGCTCTGTTTTTCCCTCAAAACCATTTTGGCACCTGATTAAAGGGCCAGGCTCCAGAGTCAGGTCACTCAAGGCAGAATCCTGCTCCAAGACATAGGTTATATGACTGGTACAGCTTGGGTCTCGGTGTCCTCCCAAAGCCTCATAAGGTCATGAAGGTGAAAGCTTTTTCAGAGGTGGCCAGATCTAAACTGTGTGATGCTAAATCAGGGGTGTGAATATTGTTAGTCCTCTGATTGGTTTTGAATAGCTCTGACGGGGCTAGGGGAGGTCCATTCTGGGGGTGAGTACAACCTATTCTAGGTGGTATATATCCTGGACAAACTATAAGACACAGCAAGAGGACTTGCTGTTTAGTCCTTTGTCACTTGCTACTTTGCTGCTAGCTGCCTTCTGCCTAACCTGGTCTGTTCCAGACTGCTTCTCCTCTGTGATGCCCCTCTGCCATGCTATCCTGTTTTGGAGCCAGCCAACTATGAAATAAAACTTCTACAAACTGTAAGCTACAGTAAATCTTTTCTCCTTTAACTCTGGATGTCAGTTATTTTATTTCAGGAATGAGAAAAAGTAACTAAGACAGTGACCTTGAGCAAATTATTTATCTGTGTCTTTTTGTTCTGATGGGAAGATCTGAGATGTTATATATATATATATTTTAAAAAAGCCATGTTCTTGATTATAATGAAAATTACTGGAATAACGATTCTTCCCTTCATTAGATTGGGGACACCCATTAAATGTGATGAACGCTATAGATCTTCTCTCCAGAAAAAGGATATAGACAAGGATAAAATTTAGTGCATGACTCATGGGAGGGTCTATAGAGTCTAAGATGAGAATGTCTCCCTTAGCGAACTAGGAATTTATCTTTAATATCTCTGATAGCCAATACTAAAAATAAATAAATGAATTCATCACACTTAAAGTGTTTATTATCAAGTTAATGAAGGCTGTATGCAGCTGTAAGTTCTAAACACATATAAGCACTTAAATAAGCTTCATATAATAAGCATGAAGTATTTTGAAATGAGATAACTCTTAAAGAAATGAATAAATGTGCTAGATACAATTTAATGTTTATGCAAGATTTTGAGACAACAATGTACAGTTTCTAAACTTAGGCAATTTCTTTAAACATACAATTAAATACTTCACCCTATGTATTCTTCCATGTTAGAACATCATAAATAACAATTAAAAAAGTGTTTCCAAAGTCTTATGTTATTCACAAATTAAAATAAGAACACTATGTTTCAGTAGTTAATCAAAGGCGCAATATATTAATATATGGAATATATTTCTGCAAAAATTAAATTATAACCTAAAATCTTTTTAGTCAATAACTATGAAACGACTTACCATTTGGGGGGTCTCGTCTTTTCTCTGTTGGAAAATAAAATGGAATATCATTAGACTTATACATTGCAATCACCAATAAAAAAATTGATTCACTTGAACTCCCATATTCTTGAAACAATTTACAGGTCAAGAAGCAAAGTTTTTCTGAAGAATGGATACCTACATAATGAGAGGAAGGGAACAAAACACATTCAAAGGCCTAAGAAAGTCAGCATGAGAACCTATAAACATTAAATGTCATAAATATGATATAAAAATAATAATAACAGTAATAATGAAAATGTGGACAGTGGATTTAGAGACAGAAGTGGGTGGGGAAGAGTAAAAGGAACAAAAAGAATCAAAGCGTGTTATGTACATGTACCTAGTCCCTAAAATGATTGTAAACTTCATGTATGGCAAACATGTACTAAAAGATAAAAGAAAAAAATCAAATAATTTTTGCTCATGACATTGTCTTTACATGTACAACATTATTCATCCTAGAAATGACATGTCACCTCTAATGCTTAATGTCATTGCTCATACTAGAAATCAAAATACAGAAAAAAGGCTGGACTGGAGTGTAAGGAGATAGGTCAGGAAGGCCAGGACTGGATCATCTAGGGTTACACAGTCCAGGGCTAAGGACTACAGATTTTACTCCCAATATGGCAAAAAGCTCTTCTAGAATTGTCAATAGGGAAGTGTGCAGGGGAATGCTGTGGTGCACAGAGCCCAACCAGGAAGCTCAAGGTAGGACAGAAGACCTATGGGTAGCCTGGACTCAGATGATGGCGGCAAGGGTGGCTTGCCAGCTCACATTCACTGCTTTTGAAGGACAAGCCAACAGACCAAATTATGCGGGAACACAGAGAACTTCAGTGATAAGATGGGCAAATTCCTTTTACCAAGACAGGGAAGCACAGCAACAGACTAGGAACAGGTCAGAGAAGGATGGGGGTTGGGGGTGGTGCTGGGATGGGACCAGGATCCAGCGTTCTGACGCTCAAGCATTAAGTCTGCCAAGGTGTTCTGACAGTCAATTTGGTACACAGCCTGAAGTAAGGGGAGAGGCCAATAACCTACACACTAATGGAGGAGTTATTAGCATATGCATGGTTTTTCAAATGCATGGTGTTAGAAGAAAACACAAATAAAACAAGAATAAAACAAAATGAGAATAACCAGAGAACTCTAAACACTGAGACAGGTCACAAAATAAAAAGCTGTGAATAATCCCAGATTTTGTGTGTGTGTGTAGGGGGGTACGACCTTCTCAGTCAGCTACATTCTGATCACCTCTCCTTTTATTTTAAAGACAGGGTTTAATTAAATTGCTAATTTCCTAGGCTGGGCTTGAACTTGCAGTCTCACTATGCCAGCTTCCCCAAATGCTAGGCCTACAAGCATGCCTGGTTTCATCATGTCCAGCTGAAAACCAGGAATTATCAATTCTCTACATGTATAGTCATATATCAGGTTTGTAAAGAGCAAGATATTATTTGGTTTTAGAAATTCAAGAGATTGAAGATTTTTTAAAAAATGTTATTTCTGTAGATCCTTAAATACAACATTTTCTGAAATTCTAAGTACCTATAACTACTTGATGAAATAATTATTTATAAATAATCAAAAATCAAAATCAATAGGATTAAGTTGGTAGACAAATAAAAAAATCTTAGCAAAGTGACATGTGGATGTATTATTCCATTTGGTGACTTGATAGAGTGACTCCAGAAACGTTTGAAGTTAGCAACTCCTCTGTGTCAATGACTGCCAATTCCCAGTTTCTAAGGCAATGTTTTCTCTGAACAGAAAGGAAGTATTACTTAAGCTAGTAGATCACATATAAAGTACGGAAATATACTAAAATAAATATAAAGCTCAGAATGTATGCTCTAAGAAGGAATTACACTGACTTGAGAATCACACATGTGACAATAGGAAAGCACTGACTGAATTAAAAAAAAACCCAGAAACTAAAAATACAGTGTTTAATCAAATTCAGAAATGTTTTAATGTCATAATACTAGCCATACATATTTAAAATTCAAACCTAAACACTGTACTTTGAAAAACCACATAATACTTATTGTAGATTTAGAGTACACTTCTCAGGATGCTATGTCTCAAACCTGTATCACAGGAATAGTTTACGACACTTTGTTTACTCAGGTGAATGAAGAGAAAGCTGTCTTGTGCTGGCCTCAAAACTGGGCATGGTGGCACATGCCTGTAATCCCAGAGCTGGGGGAGCTGAGATAGGAGGATCATTATGAGTACAAGCTGCATAGTGAGACTCTGTACCAAACACATTTAACCCCCCCCCCCAAAAAAAAAAAAAAAAACCCAAACAAAACAAAACAAACAACAACCCACTTGTTAAAGATTGTGTACAATTATCTTCAAACTAGAGTACTATGTACTCCAGGAAGTATAGAAACTCACCACAGGATAGCACAAGTCTAGTTTTGTAGGATGTTTGCCCACCTTAACTCCCAAATATTATTCCTTATAAAACTAATAATCTTCTTAACATATGACTTTGGAGAGACTCACCTTTCCTAATCCTTTTGTATTTTAGCAGAGTAAAGCTTGATACATCTGTCAAATAATGGTCCTATACCAATTAACCTGAAGCTCTACACTGTCCATCATTCTCTTATTATTTTATGTACATTAGGGTTATTTTATGCATTAAGTTCCATATGGTTTTACAGAAACAAGGCCATGTTTACAGATCTTGTTTACAATTTGACTTATTTGCTTCTAACCTTGCCTACAGTGTGTACAAAGAATGAAACACTAATAAATTCAAGTGGCATTAACACTTCAAAATTTAGACAAAGCAAACACTGAATTACTAGAATGAGTAAAAAACTATGAAAAAAACAAGTTCTCAATGATAATATTGTGAGGCTGGGGCCACCAAACTCATTTTGGAAGATATTAGATAATAAACATTTTAGGCTTTTAAAATCATACAGCCTCAGTGTTGCAGCAGAAAAGTAGCCACAGTCAATAATGTAAATTAGCCAGGGAGACAGCTCAGCAGTATGAACACCTGCCTGGCAAGCACAATGTCCTGAGTTTGATTCCTGGTACCAGACCAGACAGGTCAATTTGAAGACAGAAATCGGTCTAGGAGTGGCACACTGTTGTTACCAGGATCCCCTGCGGCATGCTGACTTGCTGCCATGATGACCCAGCGGACCGCTGCATGGCGCAGACCTGTCAGTAGACAGTTCTGAATTAGCCCAGTACAGTACAACATCACATGAAAATCTGCTTTTGCATCTTTAGGAAGAGATGAAAAGTGAGTCACTGGTTGACTCGGATACCAATGATGATTTGGTTCATGTAAGCCAAAGAAGACAGCAAGATATGACAGATATGACAGAAAAATACCGAATGAAGACCTTGGTTCAGATGAGAAAGAAAACAGTAATGTAAATAAATATTTGACTAGTCAGAATGCTACAAAATGATCATGCACCCAACATTAGAACTAGGTCAGAAAATGTTATCAGGTTCTTGCTAGGGGTGAAACCTACTGGATGGAATGCCAATGCTGCAATTTGATGCTGGGAATTATTTTAACAGATGATATACTACGAGATGTGTTAATATACACTGATAATGAAATACAAGAAAACACGCTATATGTATCAATACTAATACTCAAAAACATACTTATCATGACCTCATTACCTGAACTAAAAGCCTTAATAGCAGGACTGTATCATTCTAATTGTCAGACTCTAAAGGATTCACAGAGAAGCAACTGATGTGGTGTGATATTTTTAGAACAATGACACTCAAGATTTGTTTTCTTTCAAAATTGCCTACTTTTTAATGACAAAATATCTTGCCAAGAAAAAGCCAAACAATGTGGCTGATACTGACTCATTTGTGAAAGCCCTGTGAATCAATTTATATACTGTCCGAATATGGATAAACAACTTATTTCATGGTAGTTGTAGGCTTTGGCAATCTGAGCCAAATAAACCTCCCAGATATGAAGAAAAATATATGCCTTGGCAGATGCAAAAACATATTATCCCCAAAATTTAGAAATTTATTCTGGAACTCAGTCATCAGATCTTTCTTCATGCAGTAATAAACTTTAGATTTGTTACACCATTTATTTACTTATTTTTATGTATTTAGTACCACAGATCTGACTCATATTGATCCTGTTTTTCAGCCTCCCAAGAGCTGGGAATACAGGCATGCGCCACCATGCCCAGTCTCAATTGCTGTCTCAGTGCGCCACGGGGGCAGGGATGGCATGGCAGGCCAGGGATCGAACCCTGGCTCCTGCTCCTGCCTAAATAGGCGCCTTAATCCACTAAACTATGGCTGGCCCTACACCTATTTTTTATGGCCCTCCGCTATCCCACGGCCATGGGCCTCAACAAAGGCCACAAGGTGACTAAGAATGTGAGCAAAGCGAGGCACAGCCGTCCTTGTGGACGCCTCACCAAACACACCAAGTTCCTGCAGGACACAATCCAGGAGGTGCGCAGCGTCACCCCTTATGAGCGGCCAGTGCGCCATGGAGTTGCTAAGGTCTCCAAAGACAAACGTGCCCTCAAGTTCATTAAGAAAAGGGTGGGGATGCATATCCATGCTAAGAGGAAGCATGCGTAGCTGAGCAAAGTGCTGGCCGCCATGAGGAAGGCAGCTGCCAAGAATGACTGAGCCCCTCTGGAATAAAGCTTTGCAATAAGTTAAAATAAATAAATAAATAAATAAACGAATGACTATGGCTAGGTTTAAAAAAAAAAAAAACCCTAAGTTCAAAAATAGCTAGTAGATCACATTTGTCCCATGAGGCTTAGTTTACTGGCCCATTTCAAGTAACTATAAAAAGGAAAAGTGAAAAATGTAGCTGTTACCAGATTTCCTTTGCCGCCGGCTCAACAGGTCTGTAACTGCTTTTCGGAACTTTCTTGCTTCTTCTTCATTGGCAAAATTAAGAGCAACTTGACAAGTCTGCAACGTTTTCATTAGGGTGAGAAAACAAATGCAAGAAATTAGCTTTATCTAACAAAAATGCTAAAAATAATTTAGGACAGCAGACAAATGACAAACTGAAGACTTCATCTTTCAAACAAAACAGTAAATTGAATTAGATCTTTCAACAGGGCTTTATAAATAATCTGGATTAGAAAAGGCAATCAATGGAAAATTTCAACATGGCAATAAAAGAAAATGCGACTTACATCTCCAGCAAAAGTATGAAAATATCCTCTAGGACTATTATACACAAAGTTATTGTAGAGTTCTTGTTCCCACAAAAGCTTCCCATCCTAGAAAAAAGGAAAAATTCAAGTGAGTTATGAAAGGATAAAACTCTCCAGAAATGAAAGCATATTAATACAGTTATCTATGTTAACTTTTCTATATTATGACATGTAATATGTAGCTAATATCACATGATTTAATAACAAACCACTAAATATTGGGTAACTCTTTCATGAAACTTACATACTAAGTAAGTTTAGTTCTGTAAGCTAATATAATGGGCCAATTCTGAATACAGTCATTCAAATATATTACCATACAAATGTCATTGTCACACTGAAAAAACACATTTTCAACTCATAGTTCTACCAGTCAAAGATGGTATACCATCAAATATTACAGAATATTTTATATTCTTTTTCTCAATTTTACAATGTGGAAGGGTCAAATGTACCTTCACTGTACTGCTCACTAACAATCTGAAAATTCTTAGCTTTTGCAGAATGGCCTCTTCATTAAATACTGGTACAAGTAATAGCAATCAGGTTACAAAGAGACAGATGATTAAAATACAGAGATTAATTTAGAGATAAGTATTCCTATATTTAAAGCCGCAGTATAAGAAATATATTTAACCTTCATAGGAAAGGCAGCTAACTATGCAACATTCTGTACTGATTATCTTCAAATGGAAATACGTGGTTAGAGAAACTAATAACTTTCCTATTTGCAATAAAAGGTTCTAATCATATCACAATTTAAAATATGAAGCATATATTGTAGACATATTACGATCAATATAATAGAATTCCTTTAAGCCTCAGTGAATTTGTATTTTATTCTATACATAGTGATGAAGAATGTATCAAAAAACTTAGGGCACTGATGGTGAACCTTTTAGAGCTTTCAATGATATACACAGCCCACTGGGGCATCTTTGCCACCAACAACTTAGGGGTCTGTTTCAAACTCTGGATGTGCTGTCATTTCTCATAATCACTGCCACTGCTAGTAACAACAGGGCAGCTGCATTACTCATGGGAACTGGGGTTTGTGGAAATAGATTTTAACAAGCACCAATTTACACAGTACAGTAACTTAAACTTCATTTAATTTTTAAAAGCCACAAACCAGAGATATAAAATGATCTAGCTGATCTTATTAGTGCACAGCTGAATGTCAAGTTTTAATTTTCTATAATTAAAATCCCTTTCTACTATTGCCGCATGTAACTTAACTATGGAGACTTGTCAACAAAGAGATTTAAAAAACATACAATGGAATCCTCACCTTAGCAAAATGAAAATTACTTCTATGGTAACTGTAAGAGATAAATACCTGGTAAATGGTATCCAATGTAAGACAATGTGGATTTATAATTAAAACTGAGGAATATAAAGCTATAAAAATCTCAATAGCCTTATGATAAAAAGCCCCACAAGGAAAATGGGTAGAAAATACAT